AAATATGTTTTCGTGTAGAAGCCACAAATATTCAAAGAACAAGAGGCATTCCCGTTAATCGTTAAAGCCCGAACACCGACCCCGAACCCCGATCCGAACCAGAGCGACAACAAACCCAACCCACAACAACAACAAAAACTACCCATCAGAGTAACAAAAGGAAACCCAAACCGCAACACTCGACCATCCAACCAGCCACCCACCTACCTACCTTACCAAACCAAGCCAAACCCTAACCACCCAACCACCCCCTGACAAAAGCCATTCAACCGAATGTTGTATAAATGTAATTCAATACTTTTTCAATCTTGTTGCTGTTGTCGGTTACTTTTCCAGCTCACTGTTACACTTACAGTATTGCACTGTTCAAAATCATGATTCATAAAACCCCTTTCTTCTTATACATAAGTTTTAAAAATACTCTCAAAGAATTATTCTTATCATATTAGAAATGAAAAAGGCATTAAAATTATTTTATGGATTAAATGTGTCCTTTCTTATTTTATACCTTCTATTATTACTTAATATGTATTATCTTTATAATAAGTAAAAAAACCTTTATGAATTTTTATTATTTGCATGTTATCATATATTAGACTATTTTTTTCAAGTGCACCCATAAGTACCACGAATAAGAAGACGAAGCTGCCTGAAAATAGGGGGAAATGTTACTAGCAATAGGTACAACAAATTGGAAACACATTTTACCCTCCAATTACTTAAATACAAAACACACTGCGATTGCTTTTCAAATCACAGTGGTACCTAATTATGTATCTTAAAAAATTATTTTTGAGTGGCTTTACTCGGCATTTAAACACATTGTTTAAATTTCCTATAAAATTAAAATAAATATTAAATTTATAAAATAACTAAAAAACACTCATCAATAAATTAAATACTTTTTTTAATTCTACAGGATTTAAAATAAATCGGTTTGTATGATTCGGTATAAATCGGTATGATTTCTTTCAAAAAAATATTAATAAAGTGTATTGTTAATTTCGTCGCAGCATTATTATTTTTAATTTGCTTAAAATTTTTGGAAATATTTTTAAAAATATGTTGTTGACACTGTTTCTTTAAGCTTTTTCTTTTTGTTTAAAAGTTAAGAGTGCGACTGAAACACTCTTGAGCACATGCACATATAGGGATATATGTATGTACCAGTACACGACCCACTGTCTACAGAACGTATATGGCACATACCCCCATTTACATGATATATATTGTATGTTCTATATGTCTGTCAGTCGGTCTGACAGTCGTGTCAAGCACGCGTCACGCCAACAGGTCTCTAATTTCAGCTTGCCTGTCTGTGCTTTTTCCTCATTTTACTCAGAGCATTGCACTGTACTGTGTTATTTTTTCCTACTGGTAGGCTCACTTAAAAAAAACAAGGAGTTACAAGGCTTTAAACTATGTTTCGAATTTCAGTCAGGGTTGAATCGTTCGTTCTTCTTTGAAATTAAAAACTTATATAAATTTTTCTACGTATTGATTTTAGGTTCAAAAAGAATAATGATGATTTGGTTTAGTGTTTTGCAAGATTTGTAAAAATAAGTCTTATCGAAAAGGTAAAAATATCTATAGAATTTATGCACATACATAAATTTTGATTTTGAGTTGGTATATATTCTTCATTTCTTCCAGAGTAATATTACTTAAAAGAAAAACAAAGACAAAAATTTTCTTAAGTGTATGTCTGTTTTGCGTGTCATCAAAAAGGATGCTCCTGTGACCCCCGACCCGGAATACCGCCTCGTGGACCACCCCCCGCCATGAATGGGTTCGGTGAGCGCTAATAGATTTTCTATTACCAAAAGTGAAGAGGGAGAGGCTGGGCAGGGGGTGGATGCAGTGGCAGTGGGAGGGAAACCGCACCCGTTCACATGCATGACCGAATTTCCATTTTACGCCCCGTCTCACTCTACCGCCTGCGCTCGGAAAAGTCCCACCGGAATCGATGCGGCATTATTATTATTATTATCATTATTAAAGAAGTCGATGGCGATGGGCAAAGCAAATCCCGGCCAATGCGAATAATATGCCACATGTCCGACCCACTTCATCCTCCGGTCCTGCCACCCCTCCTGCATCCTGGCTTCTGTCTCCTGCCTCCTGCCTTCTGTCAGAACCGTCAAACGGAACAAAAGCCACAAGCGGCGACCTCAGCGGGACTTTGTATCTGCAAGATACATTTATGATGAGACGTCCCATCCATTTGTCTGTGCTACACATGTCAGTATTAAATTCCCAGATTTGCGACGAAAGTTAAATGGGTTATCCTTGGTGGTAACAGGAAGGCATTAGCGAGGCCATAATGCATCTCTGTTTTCGGCTTAACTAATTTTTAACCAGACCCACTCATATAGGTGTTTTGTTTTAATCTTAATAAACGTATCAATGTTTCTCAAAAATCAACGTTGAGAAATAGAAAATAGAACAAACTTTTCCAGATACATTATACTATATAAACTTACTCCCAGTATTATGCTGAAAGGACTATTATATATTGAGTTTTTTGTTCGAATTGAGATACAAGCATCACCAGTTTAAAAAAAAAAATAGACGAGCATAGAAAGATCATAGATCATCAAATTTTTTAATGGTTTTAAGAAGGAATTTTATTTTTTTTAAGAAGGGGTTTTTTCAAAGCTATTACTGCTACATATATGAGACATACATATGTATATCAATTAAGTTAGGAAGTGGACTCAAAATATTTCCTTACAAATTTCCTTAAAAAGTTAAAAATGTTCGCTAATAAGATGATATAACATGACCCTATTATTTTAAAATATGATGAGAAAAAACACCTATTAAAAAAATTTGTTTTAACCAACAACCTATTGTTATCGAATTTTCTTAAATTGTTTATATTGCCAAATACATAATTAATTTTTCAAGTCTACCCTTTTTGACATTTTTCCGCAAATTTCTAAACTTAAGCTTTCGAGATTTTGATTTCATTTTATTATGATTTTATCGAATTTATTTCTTAAAATTTCTTGCGTTTTGGATAATATTATATTATGTTCAGTTTTGTTCTTTAGTTCAAATCTACACTTCCCTACTACTGACTATATATGTACATTCCCATTCATACCAATAAAAAACATTAAAACGCTTGAAAAAGTGAAAAATTCAATCCCTTTTGTCATTGATTGCAGTTGCAAAGTTCGAGATTGTGCACCTGCGCCCCCACATGTGTATCTGTATCTGCACCTGCGAGTCTGTATCTGTGATTGGAGTGCTTAAAGTAGTTACTAAAGCCCCGGGCCCCGCCTCTTGAGCCGCCTCTCGTTTGAAGTGGGCGTGCCTGAGTGTGTGGTGGGGGCGTGGGTGGATTGAAACAAATTGTAATTAAATGAATGTATTCCACAGCGGCATACCAAGTGCCCGAAGGCAGGATCCCCGGTATTGGGTTCATTCCGGGGTCACCATGTCAACCAGCTGGCAAACAGTGTGGGATCAGGAAAAGGGGTGTGGAGAAGGGGGCGGAGGCGGCAGCTGTTGTGGCCGCAAGCGTTTTTCCACTTATCCGGGATTAGTAAAAATGCCACATTAAACTAAGTAAACAATTATCATCAGGCGAGGGATATTTGGCACGCCAACTGGATCGAGAGACTTTTAAAAGTATCTCCACACATCAAGGTATTAAGTTATTTTTTCAAATATTTTGAAACATTATAACTGCAGCAATAATACTTAAAAAAAATACCTTATCCCTTTTATCAAAGCTAGATTTCAATAATTATTTTATCCGGAAATATTTTTTTTTGAAAATTAAAAATATTATTATCAGAAATGTAAGTCAAAGATTTTGAAAACAAACATTTTTTTTGCAAAACGTTATGCCAATATAAGGCCCCTTCTGCGGTACTTCTAAAAGTGTCAGAAAAAGGATGGGGAGTGAAATAATATATCTAAGAATTTCAAATCTGTACCATAGTCTAGTTCTTGCTAAATCAGGTTGGATGATTATTTTTTAAAAACTGTTATCCAGAATATTTAATCAAACGTTCGAGAAATATAGAATTGGTTTAAACGATATAAGTTCTTTATTGGGTTGGAAAAATGTCATCTTTGTCAAAGAATGAAATAATATGGAATATAGTTTAATATAGAATATATTACCAGGAAAATATTTATTTGTCTAATTAAATTTTAAAAAACTGAACCTGTTGTTAAACATCATCGTATATGATTTCCGATTGAAGAATCCTTAATATTAGCTCCTTAATATTAGGAAAATGTAAAGAACTAAATACGATTTTTTTTATTATTGTATAATTTACATTAAAAATGTACCACAATTCTCTAAGAATTTTTATAAAATTACCAAATAAAATACATTTTTTTTTTTATTGAAATAATTTTTCTTGCTTCTTTTATAAGAAAAGATGGAAAACTCAACGGGTGGAAAGAGAAAACTAAACTTATTTTGAGTTTCAAATTAAAATTTAAATTTGAATTTTAAAACGGTAAGTTAAAGTAAAAATAGCGAATGCAGAGCGAGCTGAGCTGGATAAGTGTAACAAGTGTCATATAAATATCTTTTCTTAATAAGAACATAAGATGTTCTTAAATATCTGTATCTATTAAGTTTTAATTACACCTTAAAAACGTAAAATATATTTCATTTTAACTTTACAAACATTTCTAAGAAATTATAATTTTAATCAACGTTTGTATTTAATGGTATGCTTAAAGAAAATGGGATATTCCAAAATAGTCACATAGAAATATTTACTCATTCATTATTCATTCTCTTCTTTATATGTACATTGTTATTATACCAATTCAAATTGTTTATTCTGAGAGCCAAACATCTACATTGTATATTCTACAATGTACATTATACATATGACATACATTATTTCTACACTAATTATAACAGTGTACAGCACTAAAAGATATCGCACTAGTGTACTGCATATCGACTTATCGATCAATCGATCGCGAACAATTTATTGGCGGCAATTCGCGCCCACAACTGTCATCCCTAGTGTGTTTTCAGCGCGTTTTCTTTTACAATCGATCGTAAGCGAAAAACAATCCAAAAACGAAGAAAAGCAGCACAAAGAGTTCTAGGAAAACAGCAACAGAATGCCCGCAGGCATTGTGAAAACCCCGAACAGCAATGGAAATGGAAACCAGAAGACCGCAGAGCGGAATTCTAGTGGCAAGAAGTTTGTGCAGACGCGTCTGCCATTCAAGTTAATAACCCCGGGTGGGAGTGCTCCTGGGGCGGCAGCCCCGTCTTCTGGAGCCCCTGAAGCAGAGACGCAGGAGCCGCGCAAAAGAAAACTTTCCTACGAGGAGGATGTGGAACCAGAGGGCACTTCTACCTCCGAGGACCATCTTAGGCGTTCCACCAGCAAGGAGAACTTGAACGTGACAGGTCCAGCAGCCACGAAGAAGGCCAAGACCACGGAAGCCGATGAGGACGCCATGGCGGAGGATGTCATTGAACTAGACGATGAGGAAGACGAGGTGGTGTCAGTAAAGGAAGTCGCGGAAGCCAAGGAACCAAAGGTGACGAAGCCAGCCAAGAAATCCCTGCCCAAGGACAAACAAAACTCTACCAAGGCCAAGGAAAAACTGAACTCCTCCAAGTCAAAAGAATCCAAGAGCTCACCGGCCCCACCCATTCAAATTAAACTACCCTTGGGCAACAAGCGACCAAAACGTAGGAAATCCCTCAAGAAATCCGACGAAACGGTCGACAGTTCACCAATAGATTCCTCCAAGCCGGGAAGTGAGTCCAGCGACGATATCGAAGCCATCGCCGAGGAGCTAAACCCTCAAAAGAAGCCAAAAGTTCAGGAAAACAAAGATGAGGATGTCGTAGAGTTATTGGACGACGACCAGGAGGAGAACGAAGAGGCTGTTGAGAAGGCAAAGGAAGCTAGCAAGGAGACCAAGAAGACAGACGGAAACAAAAAGTCCATCATGGATCTATTCGCGTCCAAAAAAGGAGACGGCAAGAAGAAAGCAGAAAACAAGCAGCCAAAAGAAAAGGAAAACGCAAAAAAAGATGAAGAATCAGCGGGCAAAGAAGAGAAAAAAGTAGAAGCAGAGAACAAACCGGCGGAGAAACCCAAGAAGAACTTGAAAAAGAGTCCCAGCAAGCAGGATTCGCCCAAGGTCGCAAAGGAAAAGGCAACAACAGTGAAGAATTCCAAAGAAGAGAAACCCAACGAGAAGAATTCCAAAAAGAAGGAAACCACAGATAAAGAGACAATCGAAGAAGCAAAACCGACAGAGAAGCCCAAGAAGAATGCCGAGAAGAGCCCCAAGAATCAGGAGAACTCCAAGGACACAAACACTCCAAACCAGGAGATACCAGGTTCCAAGGAAACTCTAAAAATAAGCGAAGAAGAAGCCAAGAAAGCGACTGACATTTCTGTACTCCTCTCCAGTAGCGAGAACGAGCAGTCCAGCAGTGATCACGAGATGGAGGTGGACACAGATACTCCGGCTCGATCCATGCATAAGGACACTCCGTCGCGGAGGAGTTTGCCAGAGGCATCCGATGGGCCTCAAAAGAACCTTACCCCCAAGCAACAGCGCCTCCTGGAACAGCGGAAGAAGGCACGGGAGGAGAAGGAGCAGAAGCTGGCCGAGGAGCGGCGCCTGAAGCAGGTGGAGAAAGAGCAGCGGGAACAGCAGAAGAAGCAGGAGCGCGAGGAGAAGGAGCAGCAGCGCAAGCTGGAGAAGGACCAGAAGGAGCAGCAGAAGAAGCTGGAGCGCGAGGAGAAGGAACGCAAGCGGCAGGCGGAGGTGGACACCAAGAACGAGGAGAAGCGCAAGCGCAACGAGGCCAAGGAGGAAGTGCAGCGCAAAAAGGACGAGGAGCGCCGCAAGAAGGAGCAGGAGCGCGAGGAGGCCGAACAGAAGAAGAAGCGGGCCGCCGAGTCCTTCTCCAAGTTCTTTGTGCCCAAGCAGCCGAAGTCCGGATCCGGAGCCAGTGCCACGTCCTACCTGGAGCACGAGCAGAGCAGCTGCGACAGCACCAAGGCCAGCAGCCAGACCCTGGCCTTCCGTCCCTTCCAAGTCAAAGACGACATGCTGCTGGCTCCGGTCATCAGGGCCAATCTCGGCCAGGAGGAGCGTTCTCAGCTGGACGGTCTTTTCCGGGAGAAGCAGGAGGATGACGAGGACGAAGACGAGGACATTGGCCGTCGGAAGCGACCCAACCGCGCCCACTTGTATCTCAGCGAACTGAACAGCGGCCGGCGGAAGCCACTCCAAATGCAACGGGACACCAGGCTGCAGCGACGCACCAAGGACGAAGAGGACGAGGACGAAGTCCAAGTGATAGGTGAGCACGACTGTCTTCCCTTATGTCACCTTCTAGCTCATTTTTTATTCACTCCAGATGACCTCTCCACGGCGGGTCTGCCCATCGAGGAAGAGAAGCCGAAGCAGCTGGCCAGGATGCGGGCCAAGTACCTGCACTTTGCGGACAACCGCAGGCCGCCCTACTACGGAACGTGGCGGAAAAAGAGCCGCACCATCTCCGCCCGTCGCCCTCTGGCCCTGGACAAGGTGAGAACTCAACAAAACCATCTCCAAACGGAACAAAACTAATCCAAAATATCCACAGAAACTCTTTGACTACGAACTGGACTCCGATTGCGAGTGGGAGGAGGAGGAGCCGGGTGAGTCCCTGAGCGCCAGCGAGGACGAGAAGGAGCGCGAGTCGGAGGAGGAGTCCGAGGAGGAGTACAACGAGTGGTATGTGCCCCACGGTCATCTCAGTGACGAGGAGCTGCAGAACGATGGCGAAATGGACGACGGGCACACGCGGGAGGCCCAGAAGGCCAAGCTCCAAGTGCTGCAGCAGGAGTTCGCCCAGGAGATGAAAAAGCAGACGAAGAAGATCAAGCCCCGGCTGCTGGGACCCGTTTGGCTGGACGAGAACGGCAACAAATCGGAGCTATTCCCGGCCATGTTCGCCCACACCATCGACATGTACGCCTGTTGGCAAGTGGGGCCGCTGAGCCTGGAGCCGCCACCGGAGCCAGAGCGCGAGGATCAGCCGCCGGATGCACCAGTACCGCTGCAACTGGACGAACGCCTTTTGCAGCAGCTGGTGCGCCTCACGCACGGCAACCGCAATTCCAAAGTCTTTCTGATCAACGAGTATTTGGAGTACCTGAAGACGCAGGAGGGCGGCGGAGAGGGCGCTGTCCTGCCCTCGAAAACGCTAGTCCGCGAGAAGTTCGACGAGCTCGCCAGCTGGAAGCACGTGGAGCTGACCACCCCCGATCTGAACACATCGGCCAGCAGCGCGAAGAAGGCCAAGAAGCCGAAGAAGCGACTCTGCTGGGTGGTGCCTCCGGAAATCCTCGAGAAGTTCCACCTGCCCGATCTTAGCCTGCAAAACCAGTGGGACTACACCTTGACCCCAAAGATCACCGAGGGTCCCGATGCCCAGCAGCACGAGTTGAGTCCCCCGGCAGAGGCGGCAGAGGCCACAGCCTCGCCGACAGTTGCCACTGCCACGCCCACATCATCTGGTGCCACAACGCCCAATACGGGGGGCGGCACTAAAAAGCGGGCCACTCTGCTGATGTCCGTGCCTCGGGACCAGCCGATTCAGACGGCCGCCAAGAACGCCCTGATCAGTCAGTTCCTGCGACGGCGAAGCGACTCCGCCGGCGGTAATCCCGGTAAGGACAAGGACAACACTCCGACGAAACCGAAAGGAAAGGAGCGACCGCCCACCGTCTCCGAGGATGTGGTGATGCTTTCGGATTAGGCTTAAGTACATCATAGCACCAGGATACATCATAGAATGCTGCGCAGCTTCCCGCTGATCCTCCAGGATACACGCTCCTATTCATTTTTTTTTCTTCTGCTAGTTTCGATTTTAAGTTGGTTAAAATTTATATACATTATAGTGTTCCGATGTACGTTCGACTTGTATATCCCTTTCCCTATGCACTTTGCACCCATCCCCATACCCATCAACCATTCCCCAGTTCCCAGTTCCCAGTGCCCAGTCCCCTCCCCCATCGCATCCGTAGACTGTAAGTGGTTCAACGGAGCTGAGGACACGCCCAGTGTAATTATCCCTCTACGTTTCAAGGGCGTCCTCGATCCGTCTTTACATATATAGTACACATATATGCAATAATACACAACTCGATGGACTTTTGATTGGGGATTTCGGGAGAGCTGTTTTTTTTTTCATAATATCCTTTATGGAATTTATGGTTTATTTTAAAAATTATTACTCTCCCTGTTGTGCCTTTTTCTATTCTTTTATTTTTTTACGAAATATTTAAGCGAGTATTTTTTTTTAAAGCACTATTCACTTGTTTACTAAAGAAATAATATTTTTTTTTTTAATTTCAATGAACCTTGGGAATAAATCCAGAAATGTCAATAGAGAAAAACGAGGAAATAAACTATTTATATTAGACATTTATGTAAATTTAAAAATTTCGACCCTAAAAAAATATATAACAAATTGAAAAGGGTTTCTTATAGTCTAAAATTAGTTTTTAACTAGTGAAATAGGAAAATGTTTCTAAATAAAGTTCGAAAAGTATTTACCTCCTGCACATACTTTACAAATTTCGTTCAGTTTGAATTGAAATCAATAATTTAGTTAATTTCTTTTTTTTTATTATAATAAAAACTAAATAAACTTCTTAAAACCAAAAAGCAGGTCAAATAAAAAACAAAAAGTTTAGTTTAATTTAATTTTAAAATGGTACTTATAAAGAAGAAGGTTAGGTTTTGGTAGGTTTACGGATTGGATGGTTTTCCCAAAAGTAGTATCCGTAAGATATCCCAACTCCCTTAACCTAAAAACACCAAGGTTATGGCATTTCCGATCAATCATAGGATATGGTCGGGCGATGCATATGAAAATTGTTATGCCGTGTAATTTTCCCAGAAAGAAAAACCGTAGAAAATCTTGACGCTCTAATTTTTTAAGCTCCAATGTATTGGCATTTCCGATCAATCAGTTATATGGCAGCTGTAGAATATAGTGAGCCAATCTCGGCCTGGTGAGCCCATGTAGTGAGCTAATTTTTAATTTATTAAAAAAAAAATAGATAGAATAGATTTTTACAAATTTTATTCAAAATCCTAAAATTCCAAAAAGGTCATTGGATATAGTTAAGACTTTTCTTCGGATCAGAATTGTTATATGTTCGAACCTCAATTACAACTCAATCAAATGAAAGTAAGAAAAATGTATTGTATATTAGTGATATAAGAATAACAAATATCCTATATCGGAATACACACCTGGAATCGAACCACCAGCCAAAGCCAGGCTCCTTCGCCCTGTTGTAATAAGGATCTCCATCGACATCTCGAAGGTGGAAAATTTCTGGCCCTCCGTTAGGGTACCCAGCCATTAAAATTCGCCATACATCCTTCGCTTTTGTTGCGCAAAACAAAGGTGCCGCATATTAGAAAAGAGGTCGGGTATGGGTATACAATGTATGCTAACATCCAGTCCGATGAAAATCTGAGTGTCTTAATCTACTCCGACAGCTTCAAAGCCGTCTGTATATATCTTATAGGCACGATGAAGGATCTTTTTGCCAAACCACCGTACATGCATTATGGCTTCGTGGACGCCGATAGCTGCTGCATTCGGAGTCCAGGTTTCCGAATTCCGAATTATTGGGGTGTGGTACCTTGGCTTCTTCTCAAATTGTATTTTTTTTGTAATTTTTTATATATATATATTTTTTTAAAATTTTATTTTTGAAATTGTGAATATTGTTTCAGAATATTGGCTTTCTGTTGGTTCCTTAATTCGAATTTTGTATATTTATTGATACTCTAATGTATTTTTGAAACCTTCTTAGATTCTCAAATTCTTCTTCTTCAGAACTTCGATACATCCTTAATCCCTGGACTTCTTTCTTTCAAAGTACCGAAGCAGGGGCTTCAAAATCGGATAAGCCGTGGCACACGATTCTTCCATTTGTTCAGAGATTCCAGACTGTGCAATTTGAATTTAATATTAATTTTAAAAATAGATACACTTTAAATAAAAGGTTGTCACTTCTTGTTCGTATCCCAAAGAGGCAGAAATAAAAAGAAATGCAGAAATTAAGACCACTGGTAGGTCCAATTTAGTTTTAGTATTTAATTTTGAATAAGGAGGGCTTATTCAAGAGTATAAATTCCCAATTCAAAGTTCAACTATGAAGCTATTGGTTTATTGAGGTTATTGGTTTATTGAGTTTTTTAAGGAAATAAATAACTTTGGATTAGCATATTTACATTTTTTTATATTTTTGACAAAAGTAGACCAATAATTATTATACCTGTTTCTCATCTGTATACCTGTATCATCTCTTATTTTTGGTTTATTGTAAATAATTATTTAAATATTTTAATGCCTTCGCCAAATACATATTTGGACAAATACCCATGAGAAATATACAGTAAAAATTCAATTTAACCCTAATTAATTCAAATTTTAATAAATATTAAAATTTATATGAAAATTACCAAGAAAATAAAGCAAATTTTGGACATTCTATTCTATTGCTTTGTTTCTTGAAAATATAGGAAATATTTAGTTGGCATATCCTTATGAAAATTGAAGGAATTTATGCAAAAATGAAAGACTCTCTTAGCTCAACTAAACATAAATTGTATTAAAAACATTCTTGCAGACCTAATTCATGTATGTATATAAATTACCAATACAAAAACTGTGTCTATTTCCAAGCGGAGAGCATTCTTCAAACTTAAATGGTAAAATGTTAGATTTTATAAATTCGGAAAAAAATTGTTTGATGGCTGAGGATGAAGCAAACGGCGATAAATAAGCAAAAGTTCAAAATTTTTAACAATTATTTAAAAAAAAATGGACAATATACCACATAATATTGAAGTTAAGACAGAAGCCTTCATTATGTAACTTCGAAATTCAGATGGAGCTATAGGCACCATTACAAAACTCCAGAAAACAAAAAAATTATATTATTGAATAGATTTTTCATTGTAAAACAGAAGTTGTAAAACTGACTATATAATAATGAAACTAATATGATAATGAACCTGAAATCGAAATATTAATTCAATCTTAACGTATTTATTGCGTGCGTGCCTAAGTAGTTCAATAAAATTCTAATATTCTAATAATAAATTCAATAAATTCCAAAAGTAAAAAACCCATAGATATAGTTTTAAAACAATTTTTATTTTTTTTATCAATTTTGATCTTTTTTTTTGTTTATGCTTTATTAGGTAATTAAATTAATTATTAATATACATTTAGTTAAGATGCCCGACAAAAAATTAGTGTGGCTGCATTATATATGTGAGTGTGTATCGGTACTATTATCCTGGATCTATGTGGGTGTTGAAGTGTTGCTTGAATATTATTTTTCTTGGGTGTCGTCTTAAAAACGTGGACGTGAGAGTTTGTTGTAAATTCATATCTGCAATACTACTCCCAAGCTGGACTTATCTATGGCTATCCACTATAAATTATTGCTATTGTAATCGTTGTTTAATTGTTGTCTGCCGTCGTCAGTATTGAATCCTTCCCCTTTTCGATCACCTTCCAATCCCCATTCCCCGGAAAAAAGTTCGCTAAGCTAACTAAAGGACCCGGAGAGCATTGTGAGAAAATCTCAGGGTATAAACAGAGGCATACACCAATAATAAAAAAAAAGCAGGGGAGTTATTTTAGAAATAACTATGGAAAGGTGGAGAAAGTGGGGAGTTTGCTCACAATGCCACTGTGCAAGATCGCACTCATATGCTATACACCTATGTCTGTACACAAATATGTATCGTTATATTATATATAATAAGGCAAATATGACGAGGGTCGAGTTTGAAAAACGTTTCAATGAAAACTTCCTTTTTACACGGTACTTTTCGTTATTATTAGGGAGAGTGTACAATTGCAGTGGGTTTCACAAACGGGAACTACATCTAATCGTTAAATCATTAAGTAAAATCCAATCAAACATAAATACAAAGCCAATAATTAGGTAAGCCGCTGTCGCTACAGCCCTTCACAATTACAAATTTACAATTTTCGGATTAAGTACTTTAGGGAGTGAGAGTGAAACGCACTGCCAGAACTTTGTAATGTATTGTCACAGAAACCAGTCATTAAAGGCGAACAAAATCGTTAAGTACTTAAGTTTAAGATTAGGTCATTTACAAAACCATGTGTCAAGTGTTTGTTTATGTAATGAATATCAGGATGGGTCGATAACAACAATAGAAATATTAAATCCGTTAACATGCTCTTTTATCTATAAAAAAAACATATAATTTTAAAATATCCTAAAAATCGTTTCCTACATGGGTTGGATTGTAAGCTTTTCTTGAATCATTCTTTTGATCGACCGAACCTAATGTACTTCGTGATAAGCGTTTTGTTGTTGTTAAAGTTTCCCTTTCGTTGAAATAAAAAAAAAATGTTCCTTTTTGGTCGTCTTGTCTTTTAAGCTTCCGCTTCGCCGTTCAGTTCCGTCTCCGCCGAGTCCTCGCCCTGATCTACGGCCGAATCCCCGCCTGGCCCGCCGCCCGCTGTGCGTCAGGGGAGCAACAGGGGCCGGAAGTAGGCCCGACAGAAGATGGTCGAGGCCGAGGGCGGCAGATCCTGGTTGCGGTAGTACATATTGCACTCCCGCTCCGTTAGCTTGTCGAAGACGGCCGCATACTCCCGATGGAATGTGGCCAGGTCGACGTTGGCCCTCCCCATGGCGGTTAGAGCCAGGAAGAGGATGTCCCGGTAGAAGGAGTGCGATCGCTCCACCCCGTTGCTCTTCAGCTTGTGCCGCTCGTTGGCCAGGCGCTTCAGGGGAGTCCCCAGATCGTTGCACCTGATGGCCGAGATGATTTGCTGAATGACACTGAAAAAAATGAGGCTATCAATCTGAATCGTAGCCGAAACCACTCAATATTAACTTCTTGCTGAGCTGCGCCTGGTCGGTGAGCAAGGCCTTGATGAGCGGGCTCGTCGGCTGCGTCTCCCTGTACAGGATGTACATGGGCGGGCCACTGGCCTCGCTGTGCAGGCTCAGGTTGTCCCACAGGCACTGGATGTGCACCGTCTTCATCTTGCTGAGCGGATCCATGGGCTCCTTGTCGCTCTACAAGTGAAATATTATTAAAGGATACCGTCTGGAGTTAACCA